ACATAATTAATCAGTCATCCGATACTTATCTTTTCTTTAATCTCATATTTCTTATGCGTCTTGATCGATCATGGTTAACTATCCCGAATCACGCCGCTTGACAATACCGTAGGTCCTGTTGCATAAGTCCCGGATCAATTTCGCAGTAGAACCGATGCTGACCGTGACAGCAGCTAGACCTCGCTTGACTAACGTCCTCGTAGTCAACAACTCCCCAATCGGTTCTACACTCGAAAATTGGTACCATTAATATCTAGCTTTTCATCACTTAACTATCCACCGCTCTCTTCTGAGCCAGATCCCCCCTGAATCGCGTAGGTCTTTAGCCGTAAGTTCCATTCGAATTACCCAAACGTTGATTCTTGCACATTCTTGTCCGAATCATGAATCACGAATCACCTTAGGTGCAACTTCCTTTTATCTATTACTAATTTCGTTATACCACGTTGCACTAACAAATCCTCCGTTTCCTATTTTCTGAATTCGCTATAATCAATCCAAGATAACTTGAATCTCTCGTCATTTGGTATCCTCTTAACTTCTGGTCATTTCTTATTAGCTTCCAAATTTTGGCTTTTGATTTCATTATCATCCTGATCCGTCACATCTAACCATCGAGTGATTATTTCAATAATTTCTTTTGCAGTAGGTCGTTTATCAAAATCTCTATCCATACATTTAAAAGCTAATTTTATAACAATCTGGTCCTAAACATTTTGGTCTTGATCCACCGACAATTCTTGATACAAGATCATCATTAAACGGAATTCTATCAAATGCCTTTTGTCTGGTCAAAATCTCTGTTGCGATAACTCCAAAACCATAAATATCTGATGTCTGAGTATACAGTTGACCCACCAAAATCTCAGGTGCTATATACGGAAGAATTCCACAAATTTTTCCATCCTTTACTTTTCTGGAAAGCCCAAGATCAGTAATATATGCGTTATGCAAATTACCTCCTCTTTGTAAAATATTTCCGCTGTGCAAATCTCTATGAATGAGTTCCTGCGAATGAATCGACTCAAGATCCGAAGCTTTTATTGCATAATCCATAACAATAAGATAGTCACCATAATTATTTATTGATACTGCCTTGCATCCTAAGAACGAAGTATTCATGTACCCAATTTCACCGTGATTTTTCAATTCCTGGATAAATTCTTGCTCATTTTCGCTTGAATCACGGATCACTTTAAGTGCATTATTTACCCATGCACTATTGATTCTATCGAACCAACGTGCATAACATACCGTTGCAAATCCTCCTTTTCCCAGTTCCCGAATAATAGTGGTCTCATTATACTCAATCCAAGATAATTTAAACCTCTCATCGTCTAATATTCTCTTGAGTTCAGGATTGATGTGATCTGGTGATTTGTTAATTTTCAAAGGGCTTTTAAATTTTCTGAACCACTAATTTGCATTTTGGATATTTTTCATTGCACCGATACCGTCTCGATAACATATAGCAACATTATACATTGCACCTTTAACACCCATATTAGCGGATTTTTCATAGTATTCTAATGCTTTATTAGAATCTTGATCATTACCACGTCCATATTCATAACAAATACCAACACCATTCCTTGCAGGATTTCCTAACTCAGCTGCTCTCATATAATATTCAAAAGCCTTTTTTTCGTCTTTAAACTTCGCCATTATCACTTGGACTGGAGTATCGTACAAGTTCTTCCACCGACGCTATTGCCTACCATTTATGGCTTCTGGTAAGATATCTATTTGAAATACTTTGAATTCCTTTAGTATAACTAGCGGGGGGGTTTTTTTTTTTTGTTGTTGCCCTACACGGTACTTATTCACGCCCCAGTACCAGGGTATTTCAGCGACTTACGGGATTTCTAACGTTTCTTTATTACTGCCCTGCACGGTACTTATTCACGCCCCAGTACCAGGGTATTTCAGCGACTTACGGGATCTTTAACGTTTTTTTTTTTTTTTTTTTTTTTTTTTTTGATGCTATGATGAAAACCAACTTTACCTATTACGTCTGCTTAGTATGTCCTTCATATCGACTCAAGACCAGTGCCAAGGACTTCTACTGTCGACTCCTTAATACACGGACATCTCTAACATCGCCCATATTGGCAGATTTCTTGTTCTACTCAAATGCCGTTTCTTCATCATTGTCCACACCCATACCTTTCGGCTCTTTTACGTTTTTATCACAATGACCAACCATATAAGTGCCATCAGCATCATCTGTTTTGCTGATTTTCGATGATCGTATCTTTTCATCTTTGACACCTTCCTCGCCTCGTTCTTGATCTACCGATAATTTTAACACCGGTTCACTATTAGGTGTGATTCCATCAAACGCTCCTTGTTTGCTCGGAATCTCTGTAGCGATAACTCCAAGACTGTATATATCTGATGCTTGAGTGTCTAATCAACCCATCCAAATCTCTATGAACAAGTCTCTACAAATGAATCGACTCGAGCTCTATAATCATACAGTGCAATATACTAAATTTATCCTTTCATTCTGTCAGGCTACTTGTACCAGGTTTAGCCGTCTATTGCATAATCGATTTCACAGTGATTCTTCAATTCTTGAATAAATTCTTGCCAGTTTTCGTTTGAACCATTAATTACTTTAAGTGCAATGCTCATAATTCTATCATTAATATTATCACTCTAACGTGCATAATCTATGGTTGCAAATTCTTCTTTTCTTCTACTGATATCTCTAAACCTATCATATCAATCTATGATACTTTGAATTTTCCATCATCTGATATATTCTTAACTTCGGAATTGATATTATCGGGTGATTTATTAGTTTTCAAAAGGCTTCTAAATTTTATGAACCAGTACTTTGCCTTCTGAATATCTCTCTCTTCGTACTGATGCCGTTATAATATTCAAAAGCCTCTTTTATTTTTTTTTTATCTGTGTTAGTAAATAATCGCGATCTTACCCAGGTTCTTCTGTGGCGCACTACTCGACCACTAATGGGGATGATTCAAAATCGCCGGAATTCTTTGACCTTCCACCTAATGCGACGTTTGGACGTTTTGCCAGGAAGTATTCCTTTCGTATTTGATTTTTTCTTCCTTCTTCTTTACTTTGCTTATCCCTATTCGACTTTCTTCCCTTCGCTTCTTCGCCGGATAGTGTATTATTAAGTGTTTCCTTATGTGCCCTGCCACACACATAAGAGTCGTAACCATCCATTTTGTAGTTTTTTCTTAGTTCTGTTAGCTACGTCCTTTTAAGCGAAAAAAAGG